CCAGGCCGCGCTCCCGCGACGACAGAACCGCACCGGCCCCCTCACCCGGGCCCCTCTGTAGCGTGAGGGTACCACAGCAGCGGGTCCTCATGTTCTCCTTTTTCGGGTGATGGGGTGGTATACTTCGGTGTAGTTGTTTTGGCGATTCCGTCGAGAGAAATTGCCTGAAAAGGGACCACGGAGTAACATAGATGGAGCCTCGGCTATGCAAACCGGAAACGTTCCGAATCAGGTCCGGGGCTCGGAGTTTTGGACACTGACCGCCAGGGGCGCCCGTATCGCTATGGCTCGAGATCCATGCTGTTGTCTGCTTGTTTGTAGCTTAGTTGTGAAACATGTGTTAGGAGAGAGAAGCTACCTAGAAGTGAGATTTAAAATAAAGAAGCAGGAAAACTGACGAGAGACCAATATTAATTAATAGATTTCATCCTTGAATTTAGATACATAGGTACTTATGTACTCACAATGACTTAGTTTCAACTTCTAAATTTATGTATAGGTAAATGCAACGGGGAACTCCACCATGCCTACTTGTTCTGTCCCTGGCTGTAGGTCAGGAAGTGTGAAGTACCAAAAGTATTTAGAGGCGAATGGTTTGCCTAAACCTAGGGTTTTTCAGGCAAATGAGGTATGACTTGGACAATGGTTATAGTGGGGTAACAGTACTTAGTTTTGGTCATCTTAGTCGTGGGGCATGGGGACACATCCAGTCACTGCAAATAAAATCCAAGGATCGATATGTAGATGAATCTAGATAGAGAAAGAGATGTGGGAAATAAATACATAAATATATAAGTAGATAATTAGATCAGAGAAGAATGTTTCCTCATGCTCAAACCAAGCACTATTTAATTATGAGGCTACATTTTGTAACGAGAAGGTGGAATCTTCGTACAAGAGAGGTCCGTAAAGCACAAAAAGGGTTCCGAAAGCAGGCTAACCTGACGTAGCAAAATGTTCTTATGCTTTGTTATGATATATGATATATTTCTACTGTTGACACTTCTAGAGCCAATGAATACTACAGTTCTCTTTGAACTGTTTACATCTTGTTTTATTTCCTACCAACAACATTATAAGGTACTGAAATGACAATTGAAAAGAAAATCACAGGGTTACATTTCCCAGTACTTACAGGAATAATGAAATGAGAAGAAAATTGCAACAACCTCTAACACCAAACTCTGTGATCATTTTGCTCATTGTGCTCATTGCACTTTTGATGACAGTTCTTTCACGTTTCTTCTGGTTTCTCAACCAAAACCATGCCAAAATCGGACCGATAGTAAACGCAGATATGTGACAACTTCAAGACATGCAATTAGCGGCGTATCATTGCACGAATGTGTGGCAATTGTACAATACAATGGGAGATCAAAACATAGCGAACAAGAGCCGGCTGTTGACACTGTCTGCTAAATCCAAGCCATAGCGCTCCCAACGCCCTCTGTGGCAGGCTCCGTAGACTCCGGATCACGGACGAAAGTCGGGTCCCGCTTTCATTCGGAGACCGGGCACAGCCGAGGCTCCATCTATGTTACTCCGTGAAGGGACGCAAACGCGACCTGAACACAAGCCTTTAGTTCCGAGCGTGCCGCTTGGAGCGCTGTCGTCGACCTGTGTCAGTCAGTCGTCAGTCGGTTGTCAGGCCGGCGTGCCGTGCCGTGTCGTGCTGTTCGGCGCAGCGCTTTCATATTCTAACATTTCTTCGTTTTCGGGAATCGGTGTGATGTAGTAGTAGGCGTAGTAGTGGTGGTTGTTGTGCAGGAGGAAGAACACGAAGAAAGGCAGAGTAGTGTCCAACTCTGTCCAAACCCAGCAGCAGCGCAAAGGGTTAGCGAGGTTATGTGACACATCCTCGGCGTCGCCGCGCAGTCGTCATCGTCGTATACCCGGTGGAGTCCAGTCGTCACCCGCCTTCGCGGGTGAGTACAAGTAAGTAAAACGTATTATACTTCAAGTCGACGATGGAACCCAATAAACACGAAAAAGGTCGAAGAAAGGTCAAAATTTAGGCCAAAACTCGGTCATTTTGACGTCAAATGACCGAAAATGACTTATTCGTGACATTTTCGTGTTCTCTGGGAAGCGCAGGTCGTCGTCGTCGTCGGCGGCGACGGCGACCTGGCCAGCGGCGGCGCGACCACCGCCACTTCCGGCGCAGCGGGTCTGGCTCTGGGGTCTGCGCTCGTGCGGCCTGCAGCTGACACCGGGCCGGCACGAGCCTGCCCGCCCCGCCCCG